AGGGAGGGAGGGAGGGAGGGAGGGAGGGAGGGAGGAAGGAAGGAAGGAAGGAAGGAAGGAAGGAAGGAAGGAAGGAAGGAAGGAAGGAAAGAAAGGAAATACAATTTCTCCTGTGCTAATGCTTTGTGATGTTAACACTTGAGCTGAACCCAAACAGCAGGAAAAAAATAAAGAAAAGGTGGTAGTGGTGTGTGTGTGGTGCTCCAGGGCATACTCTTTTGTTTTGTTTGCTTTTTGAGACTGAGTGTCTCTGTGTAACAGCCCCAACTGTCCTGGAGCTCGTTCTGTAGCCAAGGCGCCTCAAACTCAAAAGATCTGCCTGCCTCTGCCTCCCAAGTGCTGGGATTAAAGGCATGGGCCACCCCCATTTGACACAGCAGAACTCTTAAAAGTAAGAACTTTGAACAAGACCACCTAGGCTCAAGTTACTTCCCTTCTTGATTGTTCTGGAAATCTATTAACAACATCAGAAGAAAGTCAGGAAATCAAATAGAGATAATTAGAAAAGTTTTCACCAATAGTTCCAGTTGTGGCTTCAACTTCCACATGTAGGAATGAATGGCCATGAAGACATGCCCAGCCTTTATCCCAAATCTTGGCACAGAACCCACCGGAGAACTACTGCAGAGCTGTGGAAAAAAACAGGAATAACTCTTCATTCCTCCCTCCCCCGTATATTTCAGGTGATTAATAAGAAAGCAATAGCTACCTAGAGCAAGCCTCACACCCATTCCACTTGAAATCCCTGTGACTGATCCTTGTAAGTTACTTCTGAAATGAGAAGTACTTCTAAAGAAGAGCAAAATAATAAAGTTTTCTTTTCAGATGGTGACATAAAGGATGTAGGTGTAGGAATTAAAGCAGAGGATCTTGCTGTAGGGAAGGACAAACAGAAAAATGGCACCAACAGAAAAGGAAAACAAAAACAAACCAACTCACACTGAAAACTAGCAGTAGGTAATAAGAGAGTTTTGTTTTTGTTGTTTCTTTTTTTTTTCCTAGAGGAAAACATAAGGCTCACATATGTAAGCAAATTCCGTTTGTAGCATTTGGTATTGAAAATAGAAAGAGAAAAATTAAATATCTAGTGCCCACGGTAGAAAACTGTTATCCAATGGTGCACAATTTAGAAAATTCACAAATGGCATCAATGAAAATTTTAACCCAAAGCTTTACAGTGGGTTCATTGTGAATTATTAAAATTAGCTGATCATTCACTTTTTGTCTTTAAACTTAATATACTTTACCTAGTGTGTGTTTTGTGGCATAATGGTTATACTTAAATTTTGGACATATATAATTATTGTAATGTTTTAAATCTAGAAGCAATAACTTCCTAACACACAAAGATGGACATAATATCTTGTCTGTGTGGCTAAAATACAGTGCATCATGGTTATAATACAATAATGACAGCATTGTTGTGTAATAACATGCTCAAACACAAACTAACGTCCCCATGGATAGTCACGTGTCCCATGGATATTGACTTTTCCAGTGGGTCCATTCTCTCATGTGTAAGCAGATTTACCACCATCTCCATAGGAAGGAAGAGTTAGCTGTGACTTTGTCCTTTGCCGTCCCCCAAGTGAATCTCCCTAAGAATATCCCTGTGAGCAGTTCCAGGACACATAAACACGAAACCAGTTCTAGTTACAGAAAATGTGCAGGCCATAGAGGACTTCTCTACTGAACTCTATCACCATCTATATCTACTCTGAATAATTGATCCCACTTTTTTTTCCCTTTGCCAGAATTAGTTGGACAAATTCCTTAGTTTTTAATTTTATTTAATCTGTGGAGGCAAAGCCAAAGAATTCCCCTTTCCCAAAGATAAGCCTTTCCACTGCATAAGTGCCTTAACGCTCTTGATTGTCACACCACAGCACTTGAGACCATTTGACTCCAGTGAATTAGTGGAGCAAGACTGTCTGAAAGCAGAGTGACTCCTCTGTTTAAGCACTTAAACACACAGTGAATAACTGTGCGCCTTTTTTTCCCTTCACTGATCTGCTGTGTCCTGAAGCAGAGTATTATTACAGATAATCTACAATGAATGAAAGACAAAGCATTCTGCACTCCAAATATGTACTTGTTTGCCAAGTTTCCCGAACCTGTGATTTTTCAAAATAAAAGATACAAATATTTATTTGAAAAATGATATAATTAAGAGAGGCTCACTACAGGGCAGAGCCCATACCACGCTGCACAACCCATCCACAGAACCAATGAACAGTTTCTGCAGACAGACACCTATTGTCAATAAGATTAGTTGAGCTCAGAATAGTGCCAGGAAACCTCTTTCATGCTTCAACAGAAAGTAATTTGTTTCAAGTAATGATGACTAGTTATATATAATTATCTGATTATTGCAAAAAAAAAAAAAAAAAAAACTCGCCCAAACAACTTTAGTATGCTATGTTATAAGGTTTCATTTCCTCCTTGAATTATTTAATGTTTATGTAGTCCTGAAACAAACTGAACAATTCAAAACCAATTAAAAATTTTGCCCAAATCACTCCTAACTTGTAAATCAGCACAACATGGTAGGTACATATTAAGTTGGATTCTTTTTCCTTTTTTCTTTTAGAGAGCAGTAACAGTAGTGTCTTCAAAAATAATGAGGTTTTTCCAGAGGAAAATAGTTTATAAATCATCAGCCAATGAAAATGATTCATGAAATTATATCAATTTTAATATAAAACAGCATAATTCTTATCTCTTGTGTAGGTAGACTTTTAAGATGTATGAGAAAGTGAATTGCTTATACCATGTAAATGAAAATAATCATTCAGTGTCTAATACAGTCTTGCAAATAAGGAAAAATATTTAGATTCGTACACAAAGAAATTTCAGTCATTGTTATTCTTCTGATTTACTTGGAAACACAATGAATTAAACTAATATTATTTTCTATTCAACTGGCATAAATTAACTCTGCTTCTGGGAGCAATTCATTTTGAATACTTGCCCAGTGAGTTAAAATGCTGGAGGTTTTATTTCCTCCCAGGTGAGGTCACAGCTCCTTAATTAATCTTTCTAATTATAAGAAAAAGATAAGAAAAGTATCAACTATTTTATGATATAAATTGAAGTTAAGTGTATACGTGATTTTGAGCTGAAAACATTTTCTTGCATTGACATTATCAGTGGTTGAAAGTATTAAGAATGCTTCAACTAGAAGTAACGTAAGCTATTACTCATATGACTTGGGTGTAGAGAGGCGTGCTTGTCTCCTGGAATTAAGAACTTGGAGAAAGGCAGGCAGTGGGTGTCCATTGCATGAGTCAGCCTTGGTGGAGTGAATCCTATCAGATTTATTCCTGCCTTTCTCCTCAAGACTCCAAAAAATCACCCATCTCTTGGTATTGCACATGTATCAAGGCAGAGAAGAAGGGAGGAGATTGAGATGCCAGCCTTGCCCAATGTTTATCAGAGCAGTAAAACCTTTCGCTAACTCTCAACATTACAACAAAATGTCTTTTCACCTTGTCAGAAAGGTATCCTGGGAGCTCTAGCATATTACCCTAAATGTGCCAGCCTTTTCTGGTCTCAGAAGCTAAGCAGGGATGCATCTAGTCAGAACTTGTATGGGAGGAAACGTGTTGCATGGTCATAGCTGAATGGTGGATTTTTGTTCTTATTTTTTACTATAGCATAAATATGTTGAAAGGGTGTCTGGGGAAATAAGTATTTCCTTTGGAAATGAGCAAAAGAGAAAAAGACAGATTATTCAAATGACATTATTTTTTTTAGCTGACATCATCTACCATTCTGCTTACAGGGAATTATTCAGGGGATCAACTTTTACCCATATCTAAAAAGTGAAAATAATACTGTCTGTCTGTGTCTTAGAACTGCTTGAAGGTTAAATGAGATGATTTACACAAACTTGCTCTGTAAGCTGTTGAGAACTAAATGTGGTTTAGATTCTCAATGTTTCAGGAACACAGCTCCAAAGAACTTCTTTTTTTTTAGGTCACACCAACTTAACCTTCCCTACTTATCCAGCAGATCTGTAGATACAGGTATACTTAATTTTTGACCTAGAGAAATCTTAAGATACTCAGAATAAGTGTGTGTGTGTGGGGGGGGCAGTTATAAGCACAAAAGCAATCAGAAATAACTTGCTGTAAAAAAAAAATGATAAAGATGATTTAATGTAATTTGTACTGAGAATCCTAGACGAAAAAACCTATAAAATGATTCAGAAAAATCCTGCAAGGTAAATATAGACAAATGCCATTCAATGAAAGAAAATACTGATTAAATAGATGAAAAATATTATAGTCTTAGGAAAAGATGGGTACAAATGTAGCTTGATTAAAAGAGTAATAATTCAAGTAGATTTTTAAAGGTATTTTGTTATTGTTATCAAGGCTGAGAAGAACCAAATAGGCTACCACAAAGAAACATGAGGTTAGCCTCAGGTACCCAACAGTCAACTCCAGTGAACTGCAGAAAAATGTATGCAAAGCTGCATGGTAGAGGGGTGGATCCAGATGCCAAAGTAAAAAGTGTAATACATAAAGATCCAGCAAATACATTTGTAAGGGCATTTTAGCCCTGTCTCCCAATGGAAGAGGGAATGGAAAGATATAAGAGCCAGAGGTTGGAAGGATTGCTC